CCTTGGTATTTACCCAAAGGAGTTTAAAATGTCCACACAAAAGCCTGCATGTGGATATTTATAGGAGGCTTATTCATAACTGCCAAAGCTTGAAAGCAACCAAGATGTCCTTTAGTAGGTAAAGGAATAAACTGTGGTATGCCTAAACAATGAATAGAATATTATTCAGTGCTTAAAAAATGAGCTATCAAGTGATGAAAAGACATGGAGAAAACTTGAATGAATATTACTAAGTGAATGAAACCAATCTGAAAAGCCTACAGACTATAGGATTCCAACTATATAACATTCTGGAAAAGGCAAAATTATGGAGACACTTAATAGATCAGTGGTTACTGGGGTAGGTTGTAGAGGTAGGTTCAACAGGAAGAACACAAAATTTTAGGGCAATGAAACTATTCTGTATTACACTATAATGGCAGACATGTTTGTACAAACCCATAGAATATACAACCCCAAGAAACAACACTAATGTAAACTATGAACTTTGAACAATTATGATGTGCCAATGTAGGTTCATCAGTTGTAACAAATGTGCCACTCTGGTGAAGTATGTTGATAATGGGGGAGGCTATACATGCATGGGGCAAAAACTTTGAAAACTGGACTCTGCATAAACCACTACCCAAGTCCCAGAACCAACCTTCAGTAGTACATACATAAAATAGACCCAGGGCAACACAGCAAAGGCATTGAAAATTGAACTGATACTGGAACTCCCACACTGAAAAGGCAAGACAAAACCTATTCTGAACCTAAGTTAGCTGACTGGCTGACAGAAAATAAATAAACATTCTCTAGGAAATCTTAAGAGGACTCAGAATCTCATAACATAATATTCGAAATGTCCGGGATATAATCCAGAATTAACACTCAATGAACTAGGAAAATGTAATCATTCTAAGTCTCAAATTATTATCTAAGATAGCTGATGAGATAACCAATAAAATTAGGATTTATGGGAAAAAAAGGACCACAAAAATGGACCCCAAGGTATTCTAGATACTGGCATTACTGCATACAACTATGTTTATTACATTCACAGAGATAAAAAGTTGAGCTTTAAAAAGTCAGCAAAGAGCTTAAAACTCTGGAAAGTGATATTACATATTTTTAAAGAACCAGCTAGTACTCAACCAGAAAATGTAATAACAGAAATTAAGACACCAACTAATAAATTTTAAAACAGAAAAGAATTAACTAAATAGAAAATCAGTACACAGGAAAGAGAGGCTACAAGAAATTATGTGGGCCAGGGCAGTGGCTAATACAATACCTATAATCCCAAAATTTCAGGAGGCCAAGGTGGGCAGATCACTTGAGCCCAGGAGTTTGAGACTATCCTGGGCAACATGGCAAAACCCTGTCTCTACAAAAAATACAAAAATTAGCCTGGCATGGTGGTGTGCACCTGTAGTCCCAGCTACTTGGGAAACTGCGGTAAGAAGATTGCTCGAGCTTGGGAAGCAGGGGTTATAATGAGCCAAGATAGAACCACTGCACTCCTGCCTGGGCAACAGTGTGAGACCCTAAAAAAAGAAAAAAAGGAAAAAAAAGTATCCTGAGTGGAGTACAGTGAGAAAAAAGATGAAAAATACGTATAGAGTCAGAAATACAAAACAGTGGCCTCATTGTCGTGACCTGAAAAGATTGAACAGGCTCTCATCTCAGGGACTCTGCACTTAACTGCCTGAAAAATTATTTCCCAAAATAGAAGGCTCATTCCCTTAACTTTATTCAGGCCTCTACCCAATGTCACTTAATCAGGAAAAACTTCCCAATTACCCTGTACCAAAATATTTTCTCCTTAAGCAGGTATCATCTAACACATATTTTATATATTCATTAATGAACTATATCTTCCCCCTCACTAGAATGTATACTCTCTTTTTTTACTTTAACTTCTGGGATACATGTGCAGAACATGCAGGCTTGTTACACAGGTATACATGCGGTTGTTTGCTGCACCTATCAACCCATTGTATGGGTTTTAAGCCCCACATGCATTAGGTATTTGTCTTAATGCTCTCCTTCCCCTTGCCCCCCATATCCCGACAGGCCCCAGTGTGTGATTTTCCCCTCCCTGTGTCCATGTGTTCTCATTGTTCAGCTCCCATTTATGAGTGGAGAACATGCAATGTTTGGTTTTCTGGTCCTGCATTAGGTTTGCTAAGAATGATGGCTTCCAGCTTCATCCATGCCTCTGCAAAGGACATGAACTCATTCTTTTACAGAAAAAATATAAACAACCCCATCAAAAAGTAGGCAAAGGATATGAATAGACACTTCTCAAAAGAAGACATTTATTCAGCCAACAAACATATGAAGAAAGCTTATCATTAATAGTCACTAGAGAAATGTAAATCAAAACCACAAGATACCATCTCAAGCCAGTGAGAATGGCGATTATTAAAAAGTCAGGAAACGACAGATGCTGGAGAGGCTGTGGAGAAATAGGAATATTTTTTTACCCTGTTGGTGGGAGTGTAAATTAGTTCAACCATTGTGGAAGACCGTGTGGCAATTCCTCAAGGATCTAGAACCAGAAATACCATTTGACCCAGCAATCCCATTACTGGGTACATACCCAAAGGATTATAAATCATTCTACTATAAAGACACATGCACACATGTGTTTATTGCAGCACTATTTAAAGTAGCAAAGACTTGGAACCAAACCAAACGTCCATTAATGACAGACTGGATAAAGAAAATGTGGCACATATACACCATGTAATGTATACTTTTGTAAGAGTAGAGACTTTGTTCACTGCTGTTTTTCATCAGCATCTAGAAGATTTCGTAACATAGCAGGCACTAAAAAAAATTGAATGAATGAATAAAAAAAGGTAAAAACACAGTAACAAAAAGACTGGTCAACAACCTAAGGCAGGAATCTGGATACAGTTTACACTAACAATAAGGCAAGTATCAAGACTTTTTTCTTCTTTTTTTTCTTTTCTTTTCTTTTTTTTTTACTCAGCACAAAAACCTGAATAAGTATCAAGACTTTTTTTAAAAAAAAATCTTTTAGCTGGGCACAGTGGCTGACACCTGTAATCCCAGTACTTTGGGAGGCCGAGGAGGGCAGATCACGAGGTCAAGAGATCAAGACCGTGCTAGCCAACATGGTGAAACCCCATCTCTACTAAAAATACCAAAAAAAAAAAAAAAAAAATTAGCTAAGCATAGTGGTGCGTGCCTGTAGTCCCAGCTACTCGGGAGACTGAGGCAGGAGAATAGCTTGAACCCGGGAGGCAGAGCTTACAGTGGCCGAGATCAGGCCACTGCACTTAGCCTGGCGACAGAACGAGACTCCATCTCAAAAAGAAAAAAAAAAAAAAAAAACTTTCTACATGTCACATCAAGACATACCCCAACTTTACTTTATTAAAGAGATCATCTTGAAAAATGTAACTTCCTCACTGTCTGATCTCTAACTTAGCTAAAATCTAAATGTAAGAAAAAAAGAACTATCAGACTTGTCTCTCTAACCCAAGTTATTTTCTGCAAGACAGCCAATGTGCTATCCCTCTACCCTATCACTGTACTTTTCACCACTTTTTATATCTAGGCAGAAAAATTAATCTTGAATGTTGAATACATTGGATATAGTAGAGGAGCTGGCTGTGGTATGCTACATTCTGAAAGACACATATAGTTTTAAAAAGCAAGGTCCTACAGGCAGGGATAAGAATAAAAAAACCTGGCCGGGCACAGTGGCTCACACCTGTAATCCCAACACTTTGGGAGACCAAGGCAAGCAGATCACCTGAGGTCAGGAGTTCGAAACCAGCCTGGCTAACATGGTGAAATACCATTTCTACTAAAAAATTTTTTTAAATTAGCTGGGCATGGTGGTGTGCACCTGTAATATCAGCTACTCGGGAGGCTGAGGCAGGAAAACTACTTGAACCCGGGAGGTGGAGGTTGCAGGTGAGCTGAGATCACGCCATTGCACTCTAGCTTGAGCAACAAAAGCAAAATTCCTTCTCAAAACAATAACAACAAAAGAATAAAAAAACTAATAGTGGATGTTAGAAATAACGACAATAATAATAATAAAATGGCCAACATTTACTGAGTACTTTGCATTGTTCTAAGCATATTTATTAACATTTACTTCTCAGGACAATACTAAGAGGCTTTAATTAATAAACAGAGTGGCAATCAGAGAGACTACATAATTTATTCAAATTATTCAAGCTCCCCAGGTAGACAGAAACTGAAAGTTTCTGAGCACAGGCTGTCTAATCCTTAAGCCCAAACTGTTAAGTAGTAAGCTGCATAATATAAATTAAAATTTTTAGCTAAGAAAAATAGAGAATATCCTGAAAAAGGAGGTAGACAGTATTTCCCAATGAATTCTTGGCAGAAACAAAGTAGAGCCAATGTCAAATTAATGGCAAAAATGAAGACTATTATTTTTTATCATCAGTTTTATTTTTGATCAAAATGGGAAATAATCCTACTTCACAATTAAAAAAAATGAAAATGTGTAAAAATTTTAAAGCTGTTCTTTTACATACATAACACAACCATATTAGAATATTTTAAAAGGATGTTTCTTTAGAAAAAAATTGAGAATTCTATTTAGATTAAAAATAAACATTGCACCGCTGTTCATAAGTACAATGGCTTTAGCAAAGCCTCTACTGGTATTTTCTATTATGAGCATGGCTATGTATCTTATTCTTGATTCAATTTCCTAGTTATTCCAAATGTTAGTCTCAAAATCATCCCTTACCTGAAACCAGGATTAACTATAAATATCAAGAATATACCTTTTGAAATATATTACCTTTCAAAAAGTTTTGAGCTTTCAAAACTCAAAGAACTGTGGCTCTCCTTACTACTTACATAATAATAGTCTGAGACACACATAATTGGTTCAAATCAAAATTGGTTCCAAAAAGTAAAAAGACAATTTCTTCCCCTCTTCACCTCTACCAGTAAAATAATAAATTGATAAAATCACATAAAACAAGAAAGATACTTACATTTCTTTGTCTTTTCTGCAGATCTAGCGCAGGTTTCTTTGAGTAGATTACATAAATGCCTTGTAGCATTATTCCTGAAACAAAGGAAAGAGTTTGCCTATGTGTAATCTGATCTCAAAGCAAAATCACATATGTAAGTTATGAAATATATTGTTATAATTTTTAAGAAATTTTAAAAGTATTATATTTGGTATATACCACATATTATTCATAAATGACTATATGAAGAAAAGGTGGGTTGATTGTACTACTAGCAAAGATAATTTAGTAACCCTCCCTTTAAAAGTAAAAGTTCTAGTAACTGGTCACTAAAATAAATAAACAAATAAAAGCGACAATTCCTTAACAAGTTTCTACCCAAGTTGCTATCAATAAACTTTCAGAAGACAGGTCCAGATTTGCCTGAGGAAAATAACGAGAATAGGTTGGGCCATTCATTAACAAATTAATGTTGTATATGTCTAACCTTCAAAACACAAAATGAGGTAACTTTCTGATTAGGCATTCATTATGTGAATAATAAGACCTGTGGCTATCTTCACGTTACTAACACATATAGCAGTTAATTTTCTAACTTATCATTTTTCTGTAGAAATAAACTGTTACATTTAAAAAAAAAAAGTAAGAATTAACTTGGAACTAAGTTGAGCCCTATTTTATAAGTACTGTACTCAAGGCAGTAGTGAAACAGACAATATACATAGGTAGTTGTAGGTACAGAATTATCAGGCATCTTTTTTGACACCAAGGAATGTTTCTTCCTGATGCCTGAAATTTTAATAAGTAAAGTTATTAGTCAGTGACCACAGTTTGCCCAGCACAAGAATCTGTGTCTTCCTTTTTCCATAGCACTCAGGTATAATTCTACTTATAAATTAATATTACATAACATATAGAAAGTGCTCAATAAGTTTTCAAAAATTATTTTAGTTGTAAATTTGGAATTAAAAAATTGTGGAAAGAACAAATTCATTAAATCACTACTTACTCTTTTATTAAATCTTTATTTTCTTGAATTCCTTCTTCTAATTTCAAACTTACTTTTTCATTTCCAAACTAATTTATAAAACAGAAGAATAGTTCACCACATTTTGCTTATTAGCAAAAATAAACATGAATATAATCATTAAGCAGCATTTCTTTACTACTGCACAACATAGTCTAAAGAATTATTTTCTTTCCACATAAAAAGGAAATTTTTTTGTAATAATATGATTTCCCTTAAGACTATGGCCATCAATCTGAAATAATATTGGCTAAATCATCTCCAAAAAACATTCAACAATATTTTAATGCAATATTATCTAAATATTTTGAAGTAATGTTTTTTGTTTGTCCTAACCCAATGTCGCATTTTCTCAACATTTTTTTTACTTTATGCTACACATAAAGTTACAGTTTCAAATTTAAAGTGTGATCTATAACTACTGTATTCTAATATAAGAGAAGATATTTATATCAAACAAAACATCAATAGGAATAAAAATTAAAACTCTTTATAAGTTAGAATCATTAAATCAATCTTTATCTAGAGTGATTTATTTTTTCCCTAATCATTTGCATTAAGCATTATACAACTTATTCTCTATGCTCATTCTTAAAGTTGAAATGTATCTAGTATCAATGTAACTTTTAAAAAGCATTATCCTTAAAATATTCATCACAAAAACAGGATCAACCCAAGTTATCCCAAATAATACTCTACTTTCAACGGTATTTAAGATTCACTATTTACAATTCAAAATTTTGTCATACCTGCAGTTCCTGAATGGCTTTTCGCTGTGCTTCAATTATCTTTCTGTTTTCTTGCAACTTATTTTCTTTCTGCCTCAGTTCAGCTTCTATACTTATTTTCCACTTTTTTATCTTTTCAGCCTCCTTATACAGTTTTGAATACACTCTGCTCAATGACTCTGATTTCTATTAAAATAGGTTTTCAAAATTAATTGTTCAAAATTCTAATATAACCAAACTACGGCTGCCTACTGAAAATATTTATATACTAAGAGTTGAGACCAAATCTCTCCTCAATTTAAGCACTAATAGCATACTGAAAGCCACATTAACTCTTTTAAAACTACTAAGGCAATATTAACTACTTCACTAAAGTTATTGGTCACTTGACTGAATTACACCTTGCTGAATAAAATGAAATGGCTCCATAAAAGTATTTTAGTTAGTGAGAGAATCTGGCTAGTTAAAAGCTAAAATAAATTACTCTATAAGAAATCTGCAAATCTTAATAATGGTCTTGAAATGCTTTGATTACACAAACAGTTTGAAGATTCACTAAAGGACATGAAGCTTAAAATATAATGAAAAGAAAAATAAAAGTGAACACAAAATATAATTTTCATCAACTCTGATGTTTTATGCAGAATTCTTGCCTTTTTAAAAATCCACATTATATTGTAAATATCAGTTTTTTAAAATCACATAAATTTCTGCTGGTCTATAACTTTTTCTTATCAAAATATGTAAATAAGTACTATATTTTTACATTCTGTGATACTATAATCACAGCAACAAACATAGAATACCTTACCAGGTTATGGAATTTCTCTTCCTTTAAAGACATCTATATGCCATAAATAAGAAATATTTTTATAACAAAATCAAAAGTATAACTAAAATCAAAAGTACATATGTCCTACAAATTCCTTACACAATAAACCAGCCAACCAGTCAATTCCATCTATTAATTAAAGACTGATCTTGTAAACTACTGTCTCAATTCTCAGCCTTTTCATGTATAGCACCCATTCCCTTCTTGAGTTTACAGTTTAAAATTAAATTGCCTCTACATAAATGGAACTTTCACAACCCAAAAAATACAGAAGTGGAAAAAAAGGTTTTAAAGGATATATCTTACTGCATTAATCAAATAATAATCCTTATGAAGCTTCAAGAGAAATATACATATAGGTAATAAGTTATATTCCAATTACAAGAAATTTAATATGAATGGGAAATCTTCTGACCTCCAAATCAGAGTCTTTTAGTCCTTCCTGATAGTGATAGTCAGAATTACCAACCTGAAAAAAAAGATGCTTCTATAAGAAAATACTACTGATAAAAGCTTCCAAATAATAACAATTAAATACAGAAGACTAGTAATGCAACAACTGAATACTTTTTTCTTCTTCAAATAAGCAGTTCATTACCTAAACAGATTGTATCTATATGTACTATGCTTAACTAACCTGCTGAAGCATGGGCAAGAAATTAACTTTTTGTAAAGCAGGATCTGCAAGATAAAAGACAACAGGTATTAAATATGCCAACATCTTTTTTTCTTTCCTTTTTTTGTTGTGGGAGAGAGAGAGGGTCTGGCTCTGTTGTCTAGACTGGAGGGCAGTGGCACCATCATGGTTCACTGCAGCCTCAAAGCCTACATTTCTAGGGCTCAAGTGATCCTCCCACCTCAGCCTCCCTGGTAGCTGGAACTGTGGGCATATGCCACCATGTCCAGCTAGTTTTTTGGGGGGGGTGTTGTTTTTTTTTGTTTGTTTTTTTTTTGTACAGACAGGGTCTCCTTATATTGCCCAGGCTGGTCTCAAGCTCCTGGCCTCAAGTGATCCCCCTGTCTTACCCTCCCTCCGAAAATGCTGCAGTTACAGGTGTTAGCCACCGCGTCTAGTTTTATTTTTTATATTAAGTATTATATCTAGCTTTCATGTCAAGGATACTAATATATACTTATGTTATATTTTCAATAACTATGTATATAACAAAATATTTCTATATAAGCTGATGCACTGCGTTTCCAGGCTCCTACCTGAATCAATGTTTTCTCCATTTTTGGAGAGATTAGTCATTGTAAATGGAAACTCAAAATCATCTTCAGTACATTTGTTGAAACTCTAGAAACACAAAGAAGTTTTTAAATATGCTGTTTCATACCACTCTGATACTAACAGTGTAATATATACATATGTAATATACATCTGCTTAAAGAGGTTACTATAATTGCAAACCCTTTAATGTACATACAACGTTTAAAATGTCAAATGCCTTTTCTATATAAACAAAGAAAAATTCTAATTAGGTATTTCCACTTGTAAGATGAAGCTAAACTATAAATTACTCAATATATGGCTTTGTATTCAAGAATAGTAAATCTAATTAGTATGAATGATAGATTTCTTCAATTTATGATTTCCTTGATAGAATTAAAGATTGTCTTCATTGAATAGCATTTAATAATATATTCTTGCCTATAGCAGTCATAATCAATTTTTTACAGCATATAAAAGTAAAATATTCAATGTATTATTGCATCTCCAATATAAAGACCCACATGATAATTTTTTTTTTTTTTTTTTGAGACAGAGTCTCGGTCTGTCGATAGGCACCAGGCTGGAGTGCAGTGGCACAGTCTCGGCTCACTGCAACCTCCGCCTCCCGCGTTGAAGTAATTCACCTGCCTCAGCCTCCCGAGTAGCTGGGACTACAGGCGTGCGCCACCATGCCCAGCTAATTTTTTTGTATTTTTGGTAGAGATGGGGTTTCACTATGTTGGCCAGGATGGTCTCGATCTCTTGACCTAGTGATCCGCCCGTCTCAGCCTCCCAAAGTCCTGGGATTACAGGCGTGAGCCACCGCGCCCGGCCTTAAAAAATTTTTTTAAAGCTCTGTTTTGCCTGAGAAACTTGGTATAATTCCTCTTATCCAATGATAACTCTATTACATAAATGAATTTCCCTCTTTGTCCTATCCACCAGGAAGCTCAGAGCGAAATCTGAAGCTCAGAACACGAATTGTTACTCATATATAGGCATTTGTCCAAATAGTCCTCATTTTCCTTGACAATTTTCCTAATCTTCTCCTAACGTATTCTGCTATCACATAGTATATGTGCTATAAGTTGCCTCTAATTAAATGCGGAAAGAAGGAAGATTAAAATAAGCAGGTTCCACAATGTATGCAGAGTTCTACGGCAGCAGCAGTTATTTACATGAACAATGCCTACACAATAATGCTCACTGTTCATGTAAAGCAATGGGATGCAAAATTCTTGGGTAAATGAGACCATCTATTGAAAAGAAACAACTGTAAAATAACACCAGGAACAAAATACACTTTTCTTCATCCCCTAAAGTTAAGAAGAGTCCAATCAAGAGTCACATGGAAATTTACCTTGAAGAAAGTGGAATCTCCTCCTAGGGTCTGAGGTTTCACCGCAGACACCTGGCTGCTGCCTAATCTCGGTGGTATGAACAATGCAAAGGGCTTTTGATTTTCCATTTTCTCCATTCCCGTTGTAAATTTCTCTGCCCCGGGCGACGGGAGGGGAAGGAAAGTTTTTCACCGTGTGCCATTAAATACATTATGTATTCTCTAAAGTGATGTTTTACAAACTAAAGGACTAAAGAAGGGAACCCACGGGGCTCTCGCTGCAGTGGAGAGTCCTATGAGGTGGCTTACCGCGGGGTGGGCAAGGGGACGACCCTTCGTTTCCCTCCCCCCTTCCCCCCCACCGCCCGCCGCCACGCTGGCAGCCTGAAAAGGAAGCCGGTTCCCTTCTCCAGAGCCATTAAATTCCATCACATCGCCAGGAGGAGCTGTCTTAAGATCCTGGACCGCTACCGAAAAGAAGACGGAGACAGGCAGCGGCGGGGAGGTTCGCTAGCACAACATCGCCCCGCTCAGGGCTCAGTCCCCTGGGAAAGAACTCGGCGCACCTGCCCTCGCCTTGGAAGAACTAGTGGGAAACCGTGGGCTCCATGCCCACGCGAACTGCTTCCTACGGTCTGTGAGGGCAGCAGAAAGAACCAAAAGCTCCTGCCTCAGAACCTCAGAAAAGGCGGGAAACAGCTCAGCCTGAGCCACCCGCAGCGCGTGTGACCCCGGCCGCTGGCGAGTTAACGGCTAAATAACCGTCGCCGCATGGGCTTGCCAGGCTCGCAGCACCTGGATCTCGCGAGATTTCCCCTCTCGCTAGGAACAATTCTCTCTCGGATTCTGTACTTCCTTGGAGTGGAAGTTCTTTAGGGTTCTGCCATTGTCAAAGAATGCTGGGGAAACTGTCAGGCGCTAGGACAGACTAAAGCTGAGAGTGAAAAATCAATTTCTGCCCTCCAAGAAGTCACCATCTTAGGAAGGAAACAGATGGGCAATTACAGTGCCTTATAATCATTTAGGGTGATTTCTATGATGAGGACGTAGGGAAAGTGGCTCCTAGGGTGGGCGGAGGAGTCAGAAGCTCCACAGATGTGGTATGCTTCTGTTACTGCTTCCCATAATGAGCGAATGGAGAGTTGGTTAGGCCAAGCGGTGGCTCACGCATGTACTCCCAACACTTTGGGAGGCCAAGGCGAGAGGACTGCCTGAGCCCAGGAAGAAGTTCAAGACTAGTCTGGGCAACATAGTGAGACCCTGCCTCCCCTAGAATAGCCTGGTGTGGGGGCGTGCACCTGTGGTCCCCAGCTACTTGAAATACCGAGGCGGGAAGATCGCTTGCGTCCTGGAGATTGAGGCTGCAGTGAGCTAATGATCCTGCCACTGGCTCCACCCTGGGCAACAGGGCCAGATTCTGTCTGAGAGAGACAGAGGAGAAAGAGAGAGGGGTGGGGGGAGGAGAGAGAGAGGGGGGAGAGGGAGAGGGAGACGGAAAGGGAATGGGAGAAGAAGAGTATTGCGGGCTGAGGGAAAGCGAGCAAAGGCGCTGGAGTTGTGAGAGAGATTAGTACAGCTAAATCCAAGAAGAGTGCTGTGTGAGGATTAAGTGAGGAAAATGGCAAAAGATGACACTAGAGATTTAAAGAGCAAGTATTAACTGGGCGCAGTGGCTCATGCCTGTAATCCCAGGAATTTGGGATGCCAAGGCGGGCAGATCACTTGAAGTCAAGAGTTTGAGAACAGCCTGGCCAACATGGAGAAACTCCATCTCTAGTAAAAATACAAAATTAGCCAGGCACGGTGGCACACGCCTGTAGTCCCAGCAGCTCTGGAGGCTGAGGCAAGAGAATTGTTTGAACCTCCGGGGAGGCAGAAGTTATCAAGATCGTGCCACTGCGTTCCAGCCTGGGCCATAGAGTGAGACTCCGTCTCAAAAACAAAAATAGATCGAGTACTGTATTATAGAAAGGCCTTGGGAAAGTGTGTTTTGATTTTAGACTTTGAGGATGGAGATCTTGAAGAATTTTGAGCAGAAAGGATGACATGATCAAGTTCAGAAGAAAACTTGTAGTGTGAAGAATGGTTTAGGCTTAAGAGACTAGATAGAATAGGGAGACAGTTTTAATAGCCTTGGTGAGACATGAGAACCTGAGCTACGACCTGGACAGTGGAGCTGAAGAGGAGGTGTCAAATGTAAAAAAATATTTAAGAAGTAAAATTAATAGAATTTGATAACTTTTTAATAGTAAGAAGTGAAAGAAAGGGAGAAGTCTATGATGACTACCTGGTTTCAGGCTTAAGTAACTAGCTATTATCATTACCCTAGTGCTAAGTTACCTAATTTTGAGCAATAAGAATGACCTCCGTTTTGGATATAATATTGACTTTGTTTTCCAGCTTTCTCTGGGCATTATAATATAATTGATGCTTTTTCTAAGGACTTCAGCAATATTTTTAATAACTCATTTTGTATACAGTAATCAGAAACAATCATTCCTAATGAAATAGAATTTTTGAGCAGGAAAGAATGATCCAGTTTAACTCCTTCACTTTACTATTTAAGGAAACGGAGTCTAGATACCCTGAAAAAGATAAGATACTCCCTCAGAGAGATAATACCAAGAATATACACAAAGTACCACGTGGGGCAATAATTGATCTAATTAAAAATTTTCAATTGAGGTTATAAATATAACATTTCAAGTTTTACAACAGTGAAAAATTCAACTATTGTCACTTTTTTCTTATTGAAAACCAAAATGTTACTCCTGTTATATTAAATTTACCATATTTTGTTAACTTATAATCAGTCTTTCAAAGCAATAGTGCCACCAAATCATTTCTCACTTCCATGTATTTCACATGAAATTTTAATTTAACATATTAACATCCTGTTCATATAAGAATTTAAATATTTGTAGAAAGATTTCTGGTTTTAAGAACTTTGTTTTTTTCTACAAAAGACGTTGGCAAAAATGTCAAAATATTCTGTGCCAGAAGTAAATTATGCTTAATTTCCTAATATATGTTAAAATATTTTAATAATCTGTATTTTATTTTTTCATTATTCTTGCCATCACAAAATTTCTACTTTGTTTTTATAAAACATCTCTTTTTATAAGGCATTAAGGAATGGTAAGACTTGAACAAGTCTTTGCTCACCTTTAATAATTCATAAAATGCTATAACAGTAATAGGTTGAAAATGTTACTTCCTTATTCCATCAGTCTGGCTTTAGTTAATGAGGGTCACAAACTCTATTCTTTTCGTTGCTGTTGTTGTTGCTATTGTTGAGATGGAGTTTCACTCTTGTTGCCCAGGCTGGCGTGCAGTGGCTCTCTGCAACCTCCACCTCCCAGATTCAAGCAATTCTCTTGCCTCAGCCTCTCCAGTAGCTGGGATTACAGGCACACATCACCATGCCCAGCTAATTTTTGTATTTTGTTTTGTATTTTTAGTAGAGATGGGGTTTCGCCATGTTGGTCAGGCTGGTCTTGAACTCCAGACCTCAGGTGATCCACCAGCCTCAGCCTCCCAAAGTGTTTGGTACAGGCATAAGCCACCACACCCGGCCAAACTCTCTTTATTCTGATTACAACCATTTCTACTAGGTAGCCTTTCTTATATCCATAAATTTATATGTTTTCATTCAATGTTTCAATGAATGATAAAAGTAAAGTTTCTTCAGGTAATAATTTTCTGGCTCCTTTTGAAGGAACCATGGGGAAACAACTTTTGCTTCTTTTGAGTCCAATCATAAAAAGAATCCTAGATATCCCTCAGTGATCATTTTCAAATCTAGTGGTGGATGATAGAAGTTTGTTGTCTACTCCTTCCTCTTCCACTTTGATATTAGAGTAAAAATTATTCTTCTGCTTAAAGTTCTTTTGAAGTGTCTTTGATTTACATTGGATTTCTGTGAGCAAACCTGTGTTATTACAAAATTCATACAAAATGTTTTTGGTATCACAGATAACATTATAGGGTTAATATTACCTTATATGTGTATATATACATATATCATCATAGACTTGTCTTTTTACAAAGAATCCTTCTTTGGGGCAAGTATGTGCAAAGCAATTACATTTACTACATTACTTTCTCCTTTTCATTCCACAGTTATCTTGTCTACTTAAACATACATAGTCATCCTAGACATAAATTATAAATTAATTTTGCATCTCCAAATGATAAATTTAGACTTTTTAATATTAGAACAATTTTCACATTAATCATATTTTGGAAACAACATAAAATATTAATTCATAAAGCAGTTGAACCACCTTAGCTACAGATTTTTATCTTTGACTTTTACATCATAAGGTCTAGAGAATATCCAGTGATTTTCAAAATCAGCTAAGTCAATTTTTTTCTTATAATCAAGACAAGGCAGTGGATACTCTTTTTATAAAGTGAACAATTTTTTTTTGGCTTGCCACCTTTACACATCTTTGAATCTTCAACTAGCACCTCTAACTGAAGAGCAACAGTTGTCATAAACAACTCCTAAAATTAACCAAATATTAATCTTTATCATTTATTATGTTTGTCATTTTTTCATAAGTGTTTAAAACATACCAATTACATAAAATGTATATCAAGAGCTGAGGTACAGAAAACAACAAAAGCCTTAGCCCCTTTCTAAATTATTTCATGATTTTGTTGAGAAACAAGAGCATATCAAAATATGAAGCCATTTAAAGTATATCAAATATTAAAATAATTTGAACTGAATACAGAAATGCAAAAATTATATAAAGAAAAGGAGTCATTAGAATCAGAGGGAATTAATTGTGGGGAGGCTTACTAAAGAAGTATAGTCAAAAGAGGTTTTAGTTCTGAGAAAGGAGAGTACCCTAAAGGAAAAGGGAATGGCAGAGAAGTGAAGATGAGTCATGAAACGGTGAAAAATAAATTCATAAAATCTTACACAGGCACAAGAGCAAATGGTGGTAAAGAATTTCAACTACAGAAATATTTCAAATTAACAAGAATTAACTGTTTGGAAAGACAAAATACAGACTCCTTTAAAGAAAGGAGCCATTCAGGAGTTTGAGAACAACCTAGACAACATAATGAAACTCCATCTCTGCAAAAAAATATAAAAATTAGCCAGGCGTGGTATGTGTGTCTGTAGTCCCAGCTACTTGGGAGGCTAAGGTGGGAGGATCGCCTGAGCCCAGGAGGATCACCTGAGCCCGGGAGGTCGAGGCTTAAGTAAGCCGTGATCACACTACTGCGCTCCACAGACTGAGCAACAGAGTGAGATCCTATTTCAAAAAAAGGGAAAAAAAAGAAGCCATGTCAAAATGGAGTCCATGATATGTGGGAAAAGGGCATGTTTTTAATTACATTCAGAGCAAGAAATAATGAGACTCACAACTTCCTGCATGTATATAATACTGAGGACAACTTGAAACAAGTTATCCTTTTTGGACAGCACAAAATAAAATGGTTATCTAAATAGATGAAGAAATTCTTTAAAAATAAGTGTTCTTAATGCATGTATATCTTTTCAACTGAAAAACATTAGTTTCTACAAAATTGAACTATAGTCTGATATTGGAGGAATAGTAGATAATAAGAGAAATGTTATTAGAAGTCATAATGATTTTCAAAAAGAGGCAGAAAAATAAATTTCATACAATTCGAACAACTTGTTTATAGAACCTCAAAAGATACAGCAATAATGAGTGAAACCCAGCATAAATTAACAGAACAACTAATCACGT